GGGAACTTGGAACATCATCTTGAAATGCAAAAACATGTCACGAGGAAATGAACTAGGGACCCCTTTTTCTGGCATTCAGGGGGCCGTTCAGGAAAATTAAATATGGTTCTGTGGTTCTCTCATGTGCCCCTATGTCATGCAAAAGACCGCTTTCAAAAAGTTTGGCACGCCCTGGAAAACCTTCCTGGTAAGGAAATTTAGAGGTTGCATCGACTTCCATGGACGGTCTGCCGAGGGACTTCGAGGGTCTTCATGATCGCGGGATTAGAGTGACTGTTGAGATGCATCTGCACAATCGCGAAGTGAATGAGGAGCCGACATTTCATTACTAGTAATTTTATAATGATCAAATTTGATAATGGCTGTGAAGGGATTTTGATGGATTATTTGATCGATATACAGTATAAGGGTTAGAGAGGTGAACCACTAGGTTAAAGCTTGTCACCATACTTTTTACGCACCCTGTCTGCACCTTTTCCCGGTTTTGGGAATCCCTCTTAACCAAACCATGTATGAGCGTTTATAAAAAACACTGCCCAGTTAAAGATGTGCTCCGCTGATTTAAGGTAGGCCCCCGCTCACTTAGAGTATGCTGGAAAGATTTTGAATATTGCTTGCTCTTCTATTCCAATTTTTTTTCTGTTCGTTTTCTGTTCGATTTTTTTTTTTTCTGAGAATAACCAAGTTACGACTTTCTTAAAAGAATCCTTCTAGCGGAAATTGTGATTCTATCTCACACATAATTCACTGGCTTAGGACCCATCGTTCACGATAAGAACGAAAAGAACAAAAAATTGCATTTGGTAAAAAAAATTCGAAAAACCGAAAGGGCTGCTACGCGTTCAAGGTACCGCCGGACAGGTCTGTCACAAATGTTGGCGATGGGAATGCTTCCTTGGTTCTCCACTCTCTCACTCTTTTCGGGCCTGTTGACTTAATATTAACATCTCACACTTCCACTGCATCCTACTCTATCGATTTGTCTCTACTCTCCAAAATCGCGCACGCTTAACCCGATTCTTTCATTGCGTCGCCTGATACGTAGCCGCCCAAGGCGGACTTCTTTCCATGCCCCGCCTTTGGCTCCGCGCCATTACCTTCGATTGTCCATAGAGTGTAGTTTTTGTAGTTTGTTTCTCTTCGGAAACCGAATCTTCATGCGTGAAACTTTGTGTGCTGTTCCTAGTGATCACAACTGACATATTCATGTTGGGAAAGAAAGAATTTTTACAAGGAAGATCTCATAGAAAATTGCTCCCAACGCGGAAGATCTCACTATTACGACCCACCAAACCGTGGCCCACTCTTACTGGTCTCTGTGCTTTTCTGGAATCCAAAGTTTTTTGTTTTGTTTTCAGCACCGCTCATTTCGCGGCAAACCCCGCCCAGCTGAGGTGGTTTCATATCTTAGCCCATTATGTGCCCAAACTTGATCCCAATTCTCTAGGTCGTTTCTCGGTAGTCACAAATTTTGAAACAGACACACAAAGGTAAAACCAAACAAATGCGTTACATACAAACAGGCAAGCGCTTTATACCAACCAGTATCTCTTTTATGCAACTTTGTTCAATCTACCGCGCGGCAACCGCTTCTACGCGTGTGCAGCCGTTTTAAACACAAGTGGTAAAAAGGGGAGCGATTCAAAAACAGCAGCAACGACTCGCATTTTGCTGCGTCGAAATGGGTTTTTAGATAAGCTGACGTCAGGGTGGGCGAGTTCCACGTCTCTAACTACTTGCTTCAGGATATATAGAGAAGAGTACCTACCAAGGATTGGACGATCACTACAGCGCACTGGAAAAAATGTTGAGAGATGAATGTCAACGGAAAGCAATGCGACCGGATGAAAACCAAGATGATGGCGATCGATACGATGAGGAGAGGTATGGTAGACGGTGCGACTTCTTCTGCCCTCCACGCCGTAAACACCCACCATAGACACGCGCGGTAGCGACACGATGCTATGAACGATGATGTTGTTAACCCTGCGCTTTGTTTCACCAACATTTCTGTTTGATAGACCATAAAGTGTTCCAGCTTATCATCTGTCGAGGATCCTATCACCGAAACTCAGCCTTCACGTTCATCTCCTCCACGGATGCGTACTATTAAACGAGGTGAGTTAACGAAACGATTACCGAATATGCTGTGCCTATTACTCACTTGGTTTCACCTTTTTGCCAAGATATCATTAGCCAGTTTTGTCACGGAAGCAAGGCATTTCAAATAATTAATCCCGAAAAAGGCCACATTCTGAGAAATTAGCCGTCTGTCCGAATCGAAATTAACTCAAAATTGCGCTAATACAGAGCTTTCCATACGCCATCGAATACTTTCAAAGAGCCGGCGTAGCACTTCCTGCTTGCTATTGAAGGCGCTTACTCGTCAGCTTCTTCTGGTGCCTTTCACTTGAATGCGCGCTTCTCCTAGCTTGTGTTGATGTCTGGAACTTTGTTGCTCCATTCTCCTTTCTCGCGCGTGCCTCGTACAAGTATATTTGTAAACGCTGCCTGCCATGTTGTTTCTCCACCAAACGATTTTTCTTACCCACACACTCATGTACTAAAAAATCCTAGTTCAAGATTAGGCGTGATTAATGATGCAGCCCTGCAGGGATGTGTTTCCCACAGACCTTAATTTTCAAGCCAAGTCGAGTTCTAATCAGAGGTAGAACAACGGCGAACAGATTCGCTAGTAATGCACGGTCAATGGATCGGCTTCTTGGCCGGAAGATTCCCATCTCTGTGATCAACCAATATTTTTTGGCGTCGATCAAATGCTGCCAAACTAGTCTGGAAGCATCAACTCTGGCTTGTATGTAGGCTGATTCCGGAGTGTCTCTCAGGAGGCCCCTCGCGCGGCGAGGGAAGAGAGGCAGGCGTGGCAAAGGGCGAGTCGCAGCACATACGGTAGCAGTTAGGCGTCAGGGTAATACAAAGTGTACGACTTCCTTCGCCACCCGACGGGCCTCTTAGCGGACACCCCTGGCTCCGTAATTCACTGACTGAAATAAGCAAGCATTTAAGAAGTCAAACGATTACAAATGTAAGTCGCATACATGGACATTTTAACACATTGCGGACCCCCCTACAGGCACCTCCTTCTCTTTTCTATGTTTTATTAAAGCGAATTATCATTAAACTATAAACACTTCTAACCCTGATGACTAGCATTGTTTTCCTTCTATTGTATAAACATGAGTGCAAACAATTCGAAAACATTGGAAAATGCCAAATAAATGAGATAGAACATGATAACTTCGTGTGAAATCGTGCGCCACAAGCATGTGGGCGCACGCGGTACCCAATGTGTTAAAGAATGATGAAACGCCAAACTCGCTAAATCACATTCTGCTTGAGCTGAGTGAGCCATCCTCCCCTACTTCCGAAGATGCTACCCGCTACGGCAACGGTGACTTTTGTGGCGAACATCGTTGAACTAAAGCGAACTCCATCTTTTGAGTGAAAGGGTGTTGCGCATATAAAGGTTATTCTGATTAAACAGTTATCTATAGCCCTTCGCCCGAAATCCACAAAATGTCATGTCAATTTGAAAGCTTTTGCGGAAGTCCCCTCAACTTTTCGTGAAAACAAGCACTCACGCGTGGATAATGCATTCTCAGAAGCAATAATGGAGTTGGGTCCCTTTTTTCGTGATAACGAAATGAATTCGTTTTTTTACATGGAGCACTGAATGGGGAATTTTCCACGTGTGGAAGTACCTTCTGTTGTCTGATGAGGTCCGACATGGCGCTGTCACTCATGGAATTTCAGCAACTAAACAGCTTCACTTACTTAGTAGGCCGTGCGCTCCCCTTCCTACTACTACCACCACCACCACCACTCATCGATCTGCCCAATTCCATACGTTATACGTCTCTATCCACTCTTCTTGCACGACTAATTTACTATGCATTTAGACATGCCTGTTCACACACCCACCACCACGGCTGCCATAGCAGTACAACCTGACTACGGATTCTACATAAGGATTATTATATGTAAGTGAGAAGTTCATTGTTAAATTGTCATTTATCCGAAAACTTGAAATTACTAAATCTGTGAAGTTCTATTTGTGTGGTCCGTAGGTACAATTGCGCCATAAATATGTTGACGAAGTACTTACTGTAAAGAAATCGCAAGTCGGAATGAAAAACTATGAGATTCTACAAAATTAGACATGTGAGTACTGCTAAGTTGAGGTAAACGTAACATCAAAAGCTACCTAGGGTGGAATTGTGTCCGCTAGTGCAAGCGGCAGTACATTTGCTGGCAAGAAATGAGTGTTCGAGTTCCGTCCAGGACCAAGACCTTCTAATAACGCAGCATTCTTGTGGAACTATTGGACCTTTTCCATGGTTGGGCTGCAGCCGCAAAAAGAAGGCTTAAGACCGCAGGTGTCTCAGACGAAATTTCCCAAGAAACCCTGCATGTAGAAGCGTACCTGAAGTTTAAGGAAGGATTCCAAGATAAATTCGAAGGACAAAGCCATTTGCAGCAAAGGATCTGCACCCGGCAACCCGGCACGGCCGTCTCGCGGCGCTACCGACACGGCACGCCAGTCGACTGGCTAACCGCTCGCTGCAGATCCCAAGCCATGCAGCAGAGATAGTATTAGCGTCGAAGAGGGCAGCACCAATGACAGTCGCATCAACGCGGGAATCAAAGGGCAAGGAAGTGGTCCCAACGGGACCTGGGCCATTTTCCTTTCCCCGAGCGCCGTGGCTAGCCCCTGCGAAGCATCCCCCTATGCACCCCTGGCCATAAATTTTCCTTCGCCTCGGTACCACTGACTACCCCACAGTACAAACTGGTGGGTGTAACAGCGATCAATTTGGGCAAGTTTCGACACATTCGACTTCGACTGCATCAAGCGATGAGGCTACCGGTCTATCTACCTATCGGCTACCTTATCCGCTATAATCCACGTTGCGAGAGGGCGAGCGCGGGGTATCTCGTCGTGAGTTAACATTCCATTAGATCCCTTTGTGATGTCCTAGCGTCATTTTCGCGCACTTCCGGCCGCGACAACGGCACATCTGTGATAGTTGTGGGTAATCCCACCCCCACAACAGATTCTCGGACAAGACCTTACCTCAGATTGTTGCTTTGATTCTAATTGGCGCATTCTAATCGTAAACTCCGCCTTTAAACAATCTTACACCCTTTCCTCTGATTCATAGGAATTGGTGTAGCGGCAAGTGATGTTAATTATTACGTGTCCGGGATCGAATCCTGGGCCAAACGTCGTCCGAGCCAGCCAACCAAATCTTCCATCCCTCCGAAATTGGTTAATTGATTGAAAGTTGAGTAATGGGTTTTTTTTTTCTTTTTCTTTCTTTTTAATGGGACCTAACTCTCCGTGAGCCATGTGCCCAGTGTTTCCGCCACAACTGACGGCATGTCTTTATAGACGTATAAATAAATAAATAAATAAATAAATAAATAAATAAATAAATAAAATAAGTAAATAAATAAATAGATCAAAAGTTAATTGGTACCAGACTTGTCTGGGAGGATAAAAACACTGACTTGTACATCGGCTGGCCCCCGCAAGTCATTGTATAGGCCACATCGCATTCAAAGCGCCACTACGAATGTACAAATGGAAGTGGAAAATGTAACCACATCTCTACAAGGGATAGATCAAGGGCAAGTGCCTTATCCTTCACAGGTTTGGCTCCGCTCGCTACCGCGCGACAAAGTACGCTTCAGTAGAACGGTGCATAGCCGTTCTCTTGTATAAGTTGGCCTTTAATGGATTTGACTGATATTTTTAATGAAGGTTATTATTGTGGTGATAAGGCAGTCTTTACCGCAGCTCTTCAATACCCATAAACATCCATCATTTTTCGGAAACCAACATGGTCTAGCGGCCGAATAAGTCTGGATAAGTAACAATTGCTCGAGCTGCATGATAGTTGTTTACGCTATCAAGACAGCATAAACAATTATCATGCTTCGGATGTTGAGAAAGTTTAGCGGTTGCAACTTCTTATGAATGTGGCATTGAAATAGAAACACAAAAACTCATTATCCACAACACCGACCATCCTGAAAAGCTCAGAGAGATTAGCGGTCTAATGAATCTCGATGGTGACGACGAAATCGCAGAAAAAATGGAAAGCATTTCTTATCGCGCCTCTAGGTAACAACTTCAGTGACTCCTCCGTACTCAAGCTTTCTTGTCAGCCCTTATCAACTGTTTTCACTTTTTGTCACCCATCAAACATGACCCTTCAAAAGATCCGTTACCCTTCCCTTCTAAGGTTCCTTATCAGCATCTATCAGTTGGTGTCAGTTTCTGTTACCCACCAAATATGTTCCCGTCCCACCCCCTATATCATATCTTGAAATCAACTCCTGACGACTGCTGGACGCGTGCTATGAATTTCGTGACAGACAGACGGACACACACACACAGACAGACTTAGCGAATTATATATAGTAGGGATCCTTTTTTTCATCAATACATTCATTGTTCAATATCTGTACCAGTCATCTGTACTAGTTCCATAACGCTTCTGTCAATTTGAAGTTTCTGCACCGTAACTGTTTTGACACAATATTTGTGGCGCATAATGAACTTCACTCGACCCCTGTTATTCCCGTCATATAAACGGTACCGACCATGATTGGGGGGGGGAGGAAGGCATAATAACATAGTGAGCTTTCCAGAGGGCCGCTTCAATCATTGCGTAACCAGATACGCATTCATTCTCTTCTACAATTCTAAAGTTTCACAAAAGGCATGAACATCGCCATTTAGGCTTACTTGCTGGCCTGCTGCTCTTGAACACGTTGTTGCTGTTCCGTGTGAATAGGATCGAGTCTCAACCGGCCCTTGGGGAAGATGTCGCACAAGCGCTGAAGAAGTAAGTTACTCAAATTGGTAGTAATTGTTAGGTTCTCCGATAAGTAATGAGGTATGTTTTCGGATAGAATATTTTCTTTATCCCACATTTTCACATGATTTGACATGAACATCCTACTATATATAAGCGGCTAGCGTGTGTCTGTTGGTGTGTGTGTGTGTGTGTTTGACCGGAAATTCATAGCTCGAGTCACAGTAATGATAGCGCAGTGGTTCTTACATATGTTATAGGGGGTGGGATGGGGACACAAGTGGTACGTGATAGGAACTGATAACGACTGATAAGAGCTAGAGGGGCTATGAAGGAAGTATTGCAAATTTTGTTTGTTTGATGTACCATGCACTGCTTTCTCGAACGATGTGTGAAGCAATTCGAAAACATGGGGTTTAGAGAAAAATTTCCAATTTCCGGGGCCAAAAATGCCACGATATGGCAGTCAGTAGGAAAAGCAATTTTTCAAAGAGAACGATACCACTTTTTGAACGTTTCAATGGTGGAATATTAAGAAGTGGTCAGGGCGAACAGCTGAGGAAATTACTGATTAAATTTGAGAATTTCTTTTGGAGGAACATAATGTGAGATAATTGCCGATTTCGCTACTTGTCGTTTACTGGACATCCCAACTGCATGTGAGTAAGTCACAATGAACATAGAAAAGTTTTTGTGTTGTGTTGTGTTTTGTAGAACGGACCATTCTCTTAATAGACCAGATAGAATAGGATTAGAGAGGAAATTTTCGAAAATAACTTCGGGTTCCCGTTTCGATATTCCCCGCTCACCGTAGTGAGCTTCCCCACAAATGCTCGCAGGGTAAAATTGCAAAATAACAAATGATGTGCTCGTCCTGGTGTATTATCCCTGTAGCGGAGTCCATGTAAGCTCTTATGTTCAGAGAGACCCAGCCAACGAACGCGAGCGGCAGCGTATACCTTGCGCACATCAATTTCCTCAGCTGACTGATCAAGCTATGAGTACTACACTGACTCAGTGCCAGCCGCGCAATCATTGTTATACCCAGCTGATCATAGAAACATCGCTGTCAATACTGACTCAATTCGTGAATTGTGCGCGTAAACTTCCAGAATGCTATCCATGTATTTCTGGCTTGGCCTCTCATTCCATTCCGCTACTGACGTTAAACAGCATCCAACATTAAATTAAATAACATTAAATAATTAATTAAATAAATAAATAAACATTAGAAACAACCCTACCATGTCCACTGTAGTGCACTCATCCATCTAACGGCTTCTTTTGTTTTTTTAAACCTATTAAATATGAATTCCAGACTCGCAGAGCATGGCAAATCGGACCAACAAACAGCTGCACTCGAAAATCTACTTGAGACAGTGAATCAGCTAGCTAGTGACTTACAAAAATTAAAAATGCAGATCTCAGCTAAACAGGAATTATAATTTTACTAATCATTCCTATCCCCAGCCAACCATGTTCTAACGTGACACCTACTGAATTGTCGAGATAGTCATGCCTCACTTCAATACATTGCCACAACATCTTTTCATCTTTTCTCTCATCAACTTGTAGTGTAAAAAATGTATATAACAACTATACATACATTGGATTAGATCTTAAAAGATAGATTACGTGTACTAACTATAGAAAATACCCATATCATAGCTAACGGATGTGTTTCGAATTTTAAAAACTATCGATCAGGTTTAGGTCACGAATTGTCTGTCTACACTTATACTGTTCCATCCTTTCCTTTTATAATTCTAACATTTATTGTGATACTGTTTTTAAAATCATGCACCATAACATGCTCGAGTGAATAGATGTGCCCGACTTCCTACAACTGAACTTGTACCGGTAACTGTTTAGTAATTGTATGTACTACTAGATGTGCCTAATTTGTTTGAAAATATCATTGTGAGACGTAAAATGCAAATGATTTCAACTACAATTATGAACTGTGTTATGGAATGATCAAGCAGACAAAAAACTGTGGAGAAAAACACGTTCTTCAGGCAGAGGCGTTCATAATCTGTGCGCGCAACACGTGTGGTTGCATGCTCCGACTGCCAACTAGCGTTCATACCCGATTAGCTACCTACCGCGAGGAGGTAAAGGATAAACGGACAAAAGACGGCGGCAGATGACTTTCAAACGGCCCTTGAAACAACAAATCTGCAAATCAGAGAGATGATAACCATGTGTGTGAGGTAACATGGCAGATCGCCATGTCACCTTGATGCGAGTCTACGGACAACTTGAACTCAGTCTTTTAAACCACCTCGATTTGATGCTCTCGCCTGCGCTCTCTCGCTTAAACAGCGGCTTATGATTACTGTGATCTGACACATTCAAACTTTGCCACAATGTAATTGGCTCACCCACTCGGAGTCCCTCCTCCCTCCAAGGCTTAGTCCTAGGCTCACCTTCCTTCTTGGGATTTGGAGCCGAGCCAGGCGCCGTTCTCTAATCGTCTGTGCTCTGGCCTTTCGCGGCAGAGAACACAGGGGAGAGTTCAAGTAGTCACATAAGATGCAGCTCCAATTTCGCGCCCACTAGGAGTCTGTGTTCTGCGCTCAATACTAAGCCTGCATCGTATTCGCGGAGAGGGGCACATCAAATGGTGAGGCCCTTCACGGACACATCACCAAAGAGGCGCTTTGGTTGCAAATAGTCTCCTAAGTGCCGCCCTTGCCTCGGCCGAACAACTCGTCCGCACTATCCAACTCCTAGGTTGGATCACGTTTATCGGAATTACGATACATGCTAACATCACAGTAGCTTGCAGTACAGTGCCTAAGGTTCTACATGTAGTAAGTTTCTGTTTATTTTGTCGGAGCATGCTGTTTATCACAATGAGCAATTTTTATAAAATACATCTCATCGTCAGAATGAACATTGAATGTTGTTAGGTATACATAGAATGGAGAAGTTTTCTGAATCCTTCGAGGGCTCCGTGACTTTTTCATACTTAAAGGCGTGACCGTGGCAAGCGTGAACGAGTCGCTTGTGCTACCGCTGTAGCGGCCGCTGCGTCGAAGAAGCCTTCAAGGGGAGCGCGATTTCTGCGACACCATTACCGACTCGTCCGTCCGTTTGTCTTGGGCATGCCTTTAGGTACTAAAAAAAGTCAAGGAACCTTCCAAGCTACCTCCCAAAATGGAAGAAAGAGTCATAAATATCCAGATAAGGAGAAAAACTAATCAGATCCTCTTTTTTTTCAAATTAACAAAAGGACTTACATGTAGGAACATTAGCCAGTGTAGTTGCAAACTAAGTAGTAAGGATATATCGCGACACCAGAAAAATCGTGATCCAAACACGTACTAGTAGCCAAACAGCTGGTCCAAGCAGCAAAAAAGAATGCGGTGCACAATCAAATGAGGAATAATCGAAATGTTTGAGGGGAACAGCCTGAAAAGAGGAGATTTTGAGCCGCTTACTTTTGGCGAAAGGCCTGCATGTTAACCATGTAATGTTATTTCAATGAGAAATTGAGACAGCCCAAGGAAGGGTGGGGGGGCACTCTATGCTATCTTATACGTAGTACTAGAGACACTCCTTTGGGATCTATCTGACACTACCTATATAAGTAAACGTCTCACTTTGAGTTTACTCTTGAGAAGGACTGGCGATGTCCTATATACCACAAATCCTGCCCACATGCTACCCACTTTTCTGCACAGGTCATCCCTCGAGCTCTTCTTAAAAAAACGACACAAACACTTGAAGGTTCCTTCAGTGGTAGTAATGCAAGCTCCACTCTCCAGGCGGAAATGTCAAAGCATTTCAGGGTTTCTTGCACATTAAACCGATACTTATCCGAAGTATCCTACTATATATAATTCGCTAAGTATGTCTGTGCGTGTGTGTGTGTGTGTATGTGTGTGTTTGTCACGAAATTCGAAGGGCGCGTACCAGCTGTCAGCTGGAGTTGATTTCAGGATATGATATAGGGGATGGGACGGGAACATATTTGGTGGGGGACAGGAAGTCACAACTACTGATAAGATATGATAAGGGGCGTCAGAACACGGAAGTCACAAAACGTATGTGGCGCGACCCAGTAGCATTGAGCGTTGTTTTCCGAATATGATATAGGAGATGAGTCGGGAATATATTTGATGGGGACCCAGAAAGCGATAGCAGCTGATAGGGGCTGATAAGAAGGGTTGGAAAGGAAAATGCCTCGCCATTGACAGTGCAAGGCCCAGCTAGCATTGGACGTTGTTTTGCAGAGATGATAATAGGAGGTGGTACGGTGTCATGTTCGTGGGGGCCAGAAAGTGATAACAGCTGATAGGGGCTGATAAGGAGCGTTGGAAGGCAAGTCCTACTGAAGTTTTTATCCAGATGTGGGATAAGAAAATGTCTCATTTCTTCGCAATGCAGTCGCGACCCATTCCACCGCTAAACTGCCCGAGCTTTTAAATGGTCGGCGTCTGTAAAAATACGATAACACTGGTAATCCATCTCATCGTAGGCATAGGAGACATTCAAGCGCTACACCATCCCAACATCCAGGGCATTGTAGTTGTTTTACGCTGGGTGATAATAATAAAATAATAATAATAATAATAATAATAATAATAATAATAATAATAATAATAATAATAATAATAATAATAATAATAATAATAATAATAATAATAATAATAATAATAATAATAATAATAATAATAATAATAATAATAATAATAATAAAGTAGAATAAATTGTTTTTGTTTAATTGTTTCGTATACAAAAAGACATGCGTCAAACACATGAAGATGGTTGCGTAGAGGTATAGTTCGTAATTGTATTAGTTATCCAAAGGTCATTCGGCTGGACTCAGAAAAATGATTGATGTTTCGGTATTGTCAAACTGTGAGACATTACGGCCTTATCATCCGATTTCCTTTATACCATAAGTCAAGTTCATTGAAAGTTGAGATGGCGCCAGCGGTTAGCGGGGCGGAGCAAACTGGACCTATAATGCAGTCGATTGAGCGTGTCAATAAGCGCATCTCCTTCTTTAAGCATCAGAGAAACATGGGGTGCTCCCCCCCCCCCAACAAGATTTTCACAATCGCATGCTTTCATTACGTGCCAGCTGTTTGGAGGATTTGCGCCCATGTCTTGGTGATGTCAAAGGGGCTGGGTGCAAGATCATCGCCCAAACGTTACATCCGAAGCGCCACAAGCTGACTGCCTAAGAGAGCATCATCGATGAAACATGCGTCGTACCTTTATTTGTGCCATGGTGAGCGTCACTTCGTCCGACTTATTACAAATGCGTGCTCAAGTCATCGTAGAAAAGTTTCGTGACATCATTCATACTATGTACCTGAATTTGGATCACTGAAAAACTTTCTTTACACATGAACTAAGAAAATATATTGCTTTGCGCTCAACGAAATTAACAACAGCACATAGGTTCTCGTTACACTTCATTTTCGTAACTTTAAAATCCACTTGGTACAAATAAACGAATAGTAAATTTGACAATCGAGAAATAACAACTGATCGAATTCGAATAAGATCCTCTAAGTGCCTAAAGGCTGACTAATTTCTTTGGTAATGGTGCTTTCCGACGGATCGGTTTTGCAAAGCATCGAGCCGCTTCCATGGCTTTCTGCTCATCTTGTTCACGTTTCTGAAATTTTAAACCGTGGTGGTGTAGGAAGATTTCAATTCTCTCAATAAGCTTCCATAAGCGACAATAATGTATGTTGTCGCGTCGTGAAGAATTCCATTGAGTAGTTCATACAAACACATGCATCCTGATCTCACTTCCACAAGTCCAATCATTGTATTAGGTTGTCTCATAAATAGTGTCGCTTTTTTTCAACCAAAAAATTTTCATCTAAATCCCCATGCTTTTACATCGTTCATATACCATTCGAAAGAGAATTGTCTGCTCTACAAGATGCTATGTTCTTCTTCCACCTATGTTCAGGGTTTTCAAATTTTAGGCCTGCGAAATGGGAGGTCCAGCCGACAAAAATTGACCAAACCGACAACTATCTCTAACTTTATCTTCCCTTGGGAGAAATCAATCAATGATGTACCCTCTACTTATGCATGACCTCTTCTAAACATTACACTATTAGGTTTCCCAACAAGTCGCGTCATTCCATTTCCAGACCTGGTTTTTCAACCAGAACTCGACGGTCGAGCACCATTACCTGAGATCTAGGTCGAAATTTTTTTACAGCCGAGACATTGAAAAACTAGTAGAATTTAAAGAACAAGTCATGACTAAGTTAGGAATGTACGCCTGGTTGATTTTCTCATCTTCTCAGGGATAATTTTTTCAAAGAAATGCGGTCACTTTCGTGGATTTTTTTGCTATT